TTATTTATTTAACCTGCTAGAGTTTCTCTTTGAATATTGCATTTTTCTGTCTACTTTCAGAGATGGCAAAACTTTTTCCTCCATAAACTTATTTCCATTCCTGTAATTTACACTTTCAAAATTGCTCCCAGGATGTAGGCTCTCTATTCACCTCACTGATTTTTTTTTTCTGAAGCAGTTTTTTAGTTTGAATCCATTCATTTATTGATTCTTGATTTTATTTCTTGTGCTATAGGAGTACTATAAGGAAATCAGGGCCTCCATCTGATATGATGGAGGTTTGGTCTTATTTTTTCTTCTAGGTGCAGGGTGTCTGATTTAATTTCTAGGTCCTTGATCCATTTGAATTGAGTTTTGTGCATGGTCAGAGATAGAGGTTTAATTTCATTTTCTTTTATGTGGATTTCTGGTTTTCCCAGCACCATTTGTTGAAGAGGCTATTTTCCAATTTTTGGTTTTTGGTGCCTTTGTCTAATGAGATAACTGCATTTATGTGGGTTTGTCTCTGTGTCCTATATTCTGTACCATTGGTTTCCAAGTTTAATTTGGTGCCAATACCGTGCTGTTTTTGTTACTATAGGTCTGTAGTACAGTTTAAAGTCTGGTAGAGTGATGCCACCTGCTTCACATTTTTTGCTAAGGATTGCTTTAGCTATTCTGTGTCTCTTATTTTTCCAGATGAATTTCATGACTGCTTTTTCTATTTCTATGAGGAATGCCATTGGGATTTTCATTGGAATTGCATTAAATTTGTATAGTGCTTTTGGTAGTACGGTCATTTTGACGTTATTAATTCTGCCTATCCAAAAACAAGGGAGATCTTTCCATTTTCTAAGGTTTTTAAAATTTCTTTCTTTAGTGTTCTATACTTTTTGTTGTAGAGGTCTTGCACCATTTTTGTTAAGATAATTCCCAGGTATTTTTTTTTCTTGAGGCTATTGTAAATGGGGTAGTTTTCTTAGTTCTCTTTCAGAGGATTTGTCACTGATGTTCAGAAATACCTTTGATTTATGGATGTTGATTTTATATCCTGGCAATTTGCTGAATTCATTTATTAGTTCTAGAAGTTTTCTGGTGGATTTTTTTTGATCTTCTATAGAATCATCTTGTCATCAAATAGTGCTAATTTGAGTTCTTCTTTTCCTATCCATAACCCTTTAATTTCTTTTGTCTAATTGCTCTGGCTAGTGCCACAGTCTGGCTGGGCAAAATAGCTGGGGGGTGACAAGCAACTTGTGAAGGTTGAAACATCGGGAGCCACTTTATTGTAGAACAGCAGAGGTATTTATACCTAACTCATTATACACAGCTTGTTTCAATTAACATCATCTGATACATCAATTAGTCATTAAGGAATCTCCATCATCTTAATGGCTCCCTGGCATTACTTCTCAAACCACTTCTCCTAGCAAAGTGCCAGGCGCCATCTTGACTTGGTTGTGGCTCTCAACAGGTTAGTATTTCAAGAAGTATGTTAAATAGAAGTGGTGAAAGAGTGGGAGAGTTGAGGGGAGATTTGGGCACTTTCAGTACCTTGATATTGCTTCTAAGCCCCAGCTGGTGTCCCAAGCTGGGAGTTGCCCCAACTAAAGATGGTGACGAAGATGACCCAACATGGAGGTGGCTGCTTTCAGGTCTGATGGAGCCTGGTGCTGGTGTTGTGTGGCTTGTTCTTTGATGCAGCTCTGTGGTATGCAGTATTGTGCCTGGTGACTGTCTCTGGACCCAGGGTGCTGTTCCAAGGTGTAGGGAACTATTGCAGTGGTTGAAGTGACCAGGGGATCCCCATGTTGGTATATTGGGCTCCAAATGGGGGTAGTGGCTGGAGTTCATGTGTGGGTGCTAATGCCAGTGGTCTTAATTGGGCACCTGGTGATTCTGCATGGATGAGTGGCCAGGAGTCTTGCACTGATGCTGAGGCCTGGAGACCTGTGTGGCACAGGGGCCATGATTCCTGCATGGGAGCAACCATTGTGGGTCTTCTAATCAGTATTCACACTACTTGAATTCCAGGTCCTAGAGTGACACAGAATGCAGCCTCCCTCTAGCCCACCATATTGGATCTCCCCCCAAAATTTGTTTTCCTTTCCACACAGGCACTTCTGGCTTGTACTGTGAGTTCTAAGAATGAATGTTTGTTTAGTCTGCCTTTACTATACAGGCTTATTTCCACTTCACCTTCTTCCTATGGCCCTTGAGAGTCTTGCTTTTTGCCCATGTGTTCTAGGCTTGATGGAGGCTCAAGGTCACATCTCCTTTTCCTTGTGATATAGCTACCACAGGGTAAAGATTGGATTTCTAGGTCTTTGTACATGCCACCAGAGCAAAAGAGACTTGAGACTAGTTTGCCTCCTTATTATCTTCCTGTTTTATTTTTGCTTTTAAGGAGACCTTATTTTCTTTTTATCTCACATAAGAATTTGGAATTGTTTTAGTGATTCCTAGGAGAGTAGTTATAGATAACTATTTTAATACTAGGAAAACACTATTCAGTAAGAAATTTTAAATTATGAGAGTATTGTATCAACAATCAAAAATCCAAGTTTCTCAAAATAATATAAACAGAAAAAAGAAAAAAAAACTTTTTGTCACTTTTTTGTCAGTGGTGCTTAGTGGTGAACCTGTTAGTAGTCCCTCATGTATTTTTTGTACCAAATTTTTAATAGATGTGTCATGTTTATGCTTGTTTTTCTATTTTTAAAACCATACTCTGTTGTAATTAATAGGATATTACTTTTCTATATTCATATATGAACACACTAGCAGCATAACTCCACATGACATATAGCCACAAGAATGGGAAGTTATAATACATGTATGTATAATCAAAATATTGTACCATTATGTATAACTAAAAAGAATTTAAAAAATTTAAAAGAATTTTAAAAAGAGGGGAATGAAATAAAAGTTTATTGGATCTTTGGGCATTATCCTTAGAATGGGATTAGGATATTCTTCTAGGACCCCAGTTAATTCCTGAAGAATGAGTTAATATAAAAGAACGAGCCTGGTACCTGCACTCTGCCTTCCCTCCCCACCCTGGGATTTCTCATTTGTGTGGTGGATGTGCTCCCACCATCGTGATGCCATTCTTCTTTGGAATCTCAGCAGAGAGCAAACACATGGGGCTTGGATGTTTTGCATCTATCACCCTGAGCTAAGTAAAACTCTTTTTAAAATTATAGTATCTTGTCTTAGATATTTCTTGAGAATAATGGAAAATGGATTAGTCCAATCAAAATACTTTGAATACACAAATTACAATTGAGATGAAATAGACCAATTTTTGGAATAGCATGAACTACCATAAGAACATGAACCTTTGATGGTCCAATGAACATTAAAAAATTCCTAATTTGAAAATCTCCAAAAGGATTTTCAGGTATAGATGATATTACTGGAGATTTGCCACACATTTAAAGAATAATTAATGCTAATTCTATGCAATTATTTCTAGCAAGTAGAACATGGAACAATTCACAATTTATTCTATGAAGGTGATAAAAGCACATTATTAAACTGGAAAAGACAGAGCCAAAATAAAATAATGGAAGAAACCCAAGACTGGCTGAAGAAAGTTCATCATGAATATAGACATGACAATCCCTATATAATGCACTTCATTGACAAGCACAGGAAGTCATGTTTGTATAAATTAATGTAGAAAATATAAAATTTAACACCTATGGATAAAAATTATCAAATATAAATAGGAAACATATATTTAAATTCTAATCCCAGACTCAGGAATAAGGACTTTTAAAAATGGCATTATGTGGTAATTACCTAAAAAGAGGTTATAAGGGAATAGGGCAAACATGTAGTTTAGTGTGACTTGTATCTTTATGTGGACAGCAGGGTGGGCTGCTGGTTTATTTGCACAGTGGGCTTTTGGTTCACTGGGACTTGTAAAGGACAACCAGCAGGCTGCTACTTCACTAATATTTGTGCCCTTATAAATAGAACAGGGCAAACTCTTGATTCACTCTGACTTGCATCCCTGTTGATTATCTTCTCTCCTATCTAGTTGTTATGTGTAGTGAAAGATTTGAATTCCCATCCAGGTATGTTCTCCAGGAATTTCTTGGCAGTTCTCCTGAGGGTTCCAATCTGATGTAAACTTATAGCAGAATAATTTCAATAATATGGAGAATGCTGCCCTGCACATCTCCACCTCTCTCAATTTACTGATGTAACAAGTGTATGCACTGTGTGGAGAATCAGGGCTGAATTTGCCTCTGAGGGACTGTGTACCTCAGCATGATAAAACAATATTTTAGGTATCCTTGGGGTCAGCTAAATGTCCCAAGATCTCTCCAAAAAGAAATATTTTCTTAGCTCTCACCTCTTCTATACAGCGAATGAGCCCCTGACATGCCACAATTCTCTTTCTAATGAAGCCTCCACAGCAACTGTCCCTCCAGCCCCTCCATCCTTCTCTCCTCCTGCCACATGTCCACGAGCTGCCGCTACCCAACCTGCATCTTTGGATCCTCTACTCAAGGTGGCTGGGGTAGATGGTATAATCCAGGTCTGTGTGCCTTTCTCTTTGTCAGATCTTTCACAGATAAAAAAAGCGGCTTGGGTCCTATAAATAAAGCTCTACCACATATATCAAAGAGTTTCAATATCTGACCCAGTCATATGATTTGATCTTCTATGATGTCCATAGGATCTTGTCTTGGCTTCCAGGATCTGTCCTTTATCACTTTGAATGTTTGGTACTCTAGTGTTTCTAATGAGAGATCTGCTGAAGATCTTATGGGGGAAATTATGATGAACCCTTCCTCCCTCTCAACCTCATAGGTGTGCATACTGTGCTCTACAATGTTTTAGGGAACAGAGCATTTTGTTATAGTATCATAGTGTGAGTAAGGTGCTACCATTTTTTTTTTTTTGACACCCATTATTTAGTGTTGGAAGAAAAAGAAGTCAAATACCTTGAGTGTAGATATCATGAGGTTGTTCAAAGCCAAAATTATAACAGACTTTTAGAAAAGTTCATTGAAGCACTGTACAAATTTTAATTTTTGAAAAATAAATACCATTTTCCATAGCCTATTGAAGAAAAATCTTCTGGAGTACTTTCTTATTTTTATTCTAAAGTGGAAAAGTCCTGTAGACCCAAAGGGAGATGGCCAATGGGGGGTGATGCCCAGGCATGATTTGGCTATTTCTTGCTTTGACCTCATAAGGAGCCAATTTGAGAAAATTTTAAACACAGGATATATAAGAGAATGGCTCTGGTTGGGTTTTTGTCCATAAGCATGGGAAGTTCTTGGTGGTGACTTGTTGAACTCCCAGATAGCATGCTGAGTGGTTGTGGTCTTTGGAGATTAGTTCCTTGATTTGGGTTTCTCTCTCTTGTTTTTTGATTTTGTTTTGTTAATTTTTTTTAAGCTAGCATCCTTAATTGGTGTCCCTGCTTAGGAAGAACAGTAAGAATAGTCAGATTAGTATGGACCCCATTACTCTCATGAGAAGCCTCTTTATTATGAGGTCTTGAGGGACCCCAGTACTCTCATGAGAAACCTTTTTATTATGAGGTCTTGAGGGACACTGGGCAAGGGGGGTTTGGTCATGTGAAACTATCCCACCATCTCTGCAGTGGGACAGTAGTGGTGATGAACGTCCTGCCAAAGGGAAAGAGGAACTCGGTGGACTGCTCTGAAATAGACATGATGATGACCTTGAACCATGCAAATGTGATCCAGCTCTTTCAGGTTACTGAAAGCTGTAAAAATGTCTACATTGTGATGAAACATGCAGGTAGAGAACTGGTACATCACCTCATTCTGCCTGGGGGCATGCAGGAAGAGAAGGCCTAGAGACTGTTCAGGGAGATCATGTATGCCATGTGCTACTGCCATAAGATGCGCATCTTGCACTGAGACCTGAAGGCGGAGAACATTGTGCTGGATGCCAGAGGCAACATCAGACTGATTGACTTTGGCACAGTCATCAGGTTCAAGCCTGGGCAGAAGCTGACCAAGTTCTGGGGCACTTTCCAGTACCTTGCCCTGGAAGTCATCCAAGGGTAAGTACATACCCTCCCACCCCCCAGTGGACAGCTGGAGCCTGGGTGTCATTCTGTATTTTATGTTGAAAGGGAGCTGCCTATTTAGGGTGGCCAGTACTAAGGAGACAAATCTTGTTCCCAAAGTTGGACTTTCCCCAGCATGTCTCCGCTGAGGCACAAAGACTCATCAAGGAAATACTGACAGTGGACACCACAGCAAGGCTTTTGTTAGGAAGTCTTTGAGGACACTTGGCCAAATCAAGTTGCGAAGTACATAGCCTATCATAATGTGCCCCGCCCCAACCTCTCAGACTCCACAGTATTGACAATCCTCTTGGACACAGGTTATGACCCATATAATTCTGGAGTGTCTCTGTCCAAAAGAAAGTTCGATGATGTGATGGCTACACACCACATGGTCCAGCAGCAGATAAGCCAGGACAGGCTGCATGAAGACTGGGTGAAGGAGGGTTGTACCCTGCCCATGCCCCATGGATCCTTCCAATTTCCCTGTGCTCCCAAAGAGGAGTGCAAGTGAGCCTACTGTTCATACCTTCCCTTTGCCCTATGAACACTTGCCACCTGACCCAAATGGTCAGGGCAGCAGAGTGTCAGAAGGGCCAGCATGCCTTCTATTAGACTCTGCTTCCTGCATGAGAAGACCCCCACTCCAAGCCTAGCCTCCCAGCATGACTCTGTGTCCAATAAGCAACAACCCTGCATATCATCATCATAAGAGGGCAATTTCTCCCAAGATGCCACCATGGTGCCTCCCCATGGCAACAGCAAAGGCTGGAAGAGGTGACTGGGGGAATCACCATCTGCTTTCAACTACTGTGCTATTTCTTGTTGTATTAGTGAAATGTAGCTCCAAAGCAAGGAGAGCAGAAAGGTGCTAGATTCATAAAAAGGGTTGTTCCAATGTGAATTCAGAGCTGAGATGGACCAAACCAATAGACAGCCAGCCAGATGGCCCTTTGTTCTGTGGATGCTGTCATCACTACAAGGCATTGGTTGTGTGAACTCAAACAGCTGCAGGATTGAGTGGATATATTGGCTCGGGCTTCTCCGCATGGGTTCCAGCCAGGAGTATATCTGGATCTTCCTGGACATCAGGAGTCTCCCTTGCTCTGACCTGCAAGAAACATTAGATGAGACAGTTTTCCCTAGGATACTTACCTATATCCTGCTCTTCTCTGTCCTTTATCCCATGCTCCTGGAATAGCAGAAGTACTTTTTTTTTTTTTTTCGGGGGGTTGGGGTGGGTATCGGAGATTGAATTGAAGGACACCAAACCACTGGGCAATATCCCCAACCCTATTTTATTTAGAGGCAGGGTCTCACTGAGTTGCTAAGCCCCTTGCCATTGCTTGGGCTGGCTTTGAACATGGTCCTCCTTCCTCAGCTTCCGGAGCTTCTGGGATTACAGGCATGCAGTACCAGGCCCAGAGAAATACTTAATAAATTTGTCTCTTTCAAATTGCATAGTCAAATTTGATGTTCCAAAGATTAAAAATGAAGGCTGATATAAAAAAAAGGCGGTGTTTCAGAGTGAAGTCTGGAACCCAACAGACATCCTCTCCAAGACCTGGATCACTGTACCTCTCTCTCCTGTTCAATATAGATAAGATTTGCTCACCTGAGCCAGTGTAGATAAAGATTCACCTTAGCAAGTGTATAAGGGAACTTGCTTGGCTTTAGCCAATGTAGATGGGGATTCAGTTGCCTTAGCTAGTGTAGAGGGTCTCTTGCCTCTAGCCAGTGTAGATGAGCACTCACTTGCTTTGATCTAGAACCAATGGAGCCTTGCTGTCTTTAACCCAGTCGTACGGAGATGTTGCTTTGGAGCCAGTGTAGACATGACTGGCTTTGAGCTAGTGGTCTTTGGCAGAAGGAATCCCTAAGATGTGTGGAGTGGGTAGGTGCCAACTGTTGGAGAATCACATCTGAGAAGGCATTGGAGACCCTAGAGTGTTCTACGGCATCATCTCCTTCATACTGTCTGCAGGGAAGTCAGATGCGGGCCAGGTGGTAGGGGTGGGCCTGCCTGGAGCAGATGACTGTGTGCCTTACCACCTATTATGTTGCCTCACCACCCAAAACTTCCTCATGGCCCCTGCTGAGGGTAGTAGAGAAAGGAGCACATGGAGTTTGGGGAGTGGAGATGACAAGCCATCTTATGGATGCTATTTACATAAAAGCAAAGTGTACCAATGTGGAACTGCTCTTTGCTTTGGGTTCTCTTTATGCCAAAGTTTGTAATTGAAGTGTGTACAAAGAAAGAGTGGGAAATACTTGGGTTAGCCAGATTGAAAGCTTCTAACACCTTCCTTCCCTGATAGCTCTGCAGGACTGTGCCCCCAGAGCTTCTCTGGCAGCTTCTTCCTGCTATTACTTTTAGTAGTCAGAAAATGGGATACCTTTAAAAAACAAATGCATGTCACATGTGTCAATTTAGTATTTTGCCCTTTTCTGATAGGGCCCAATTGTGAAATTATCAGATATTTGGAAGCATTTTAAGGAGAAACTCTTTGAATCTTTTTCTAGAGAAAAAAAATCCCAATGGTGGTAAAACCCTCTAAGATAATCCCTCTAAGTCACTTCCCAGGTGTTCAGCCAGGAAATGGACATTTTGGGATCCAACCTTGGCCTAGGGAAGGGATTGCCAAAGAGCTGCCTGAAAGGTTAGAATGTGCAGGAGGTTCTGGGAAGCAGGAGAGGCCTACTGAGGATCACGGAGGAGTGTGCCTGAAGAGGAAGCCCAGGCCCAGGTGACAACTCTAGGCCCACATTGGGACAGCCACAAGGGTGTGCAGGGATCCTGGAGGATGGGAGAGAGGCAGTATAGAGGAGGAATGCCTTTTTGCATTTTGTGTGGCTTGTTCTCAGGAGCAGAAGAAGAAGGTATCCTGGGATGGAGTTTTCCTTGAGGACTACCACTTGGCCAGGCTGGCACTTGTCAGGCAGGTGTTCTCCCTATGGCTCCTAGAAACAGATGTTAGCCTCTCTCTGGGGGCAGTATAACTCCCACTCTAGGTAGGAAGGAAGGGATGTTTCACTTACTCAATTATTTTAACATATGGATGCCAAGCTCCTTTTTGAGGCCTTTCCATCAATTAGCACTGAAACCATGGGATCCATCCTTACAACTTCCACTGTTGGTCTTAGATGCCTCTTCTCCCCAGGGCCTCCTTGCTCCACAACTTCCTATGGACTCTTTTTGCCTGCTGAACAGAAATTCAGTTAAGTGGGGATGGTGGCTGTAGTCAGTGCAAATCCCCATAAGAGTTTATCATTAGTGGTCTAGAAATCCAGATGTGTCATTCATGTTCACAAACCCTGAATAAAACAGATCTCATTTTTACAGTGACAGCTAAATAAACCTGCTTTTCTTTTTTGAATAATATATGCAGCCTCGGGGAAAACATGAGTATAACAAAAAATGATTAGTGCAACTCAACAACTTTAAACACACAACTATACAGTTTAGATGAAGTAGATCAATTTGTTTAAATGCATGGACTACCAGAAGAACACAGACATTTATATGGTCCAGTGACCATTAAGAAAATTAAGTTCCTCATTTGAAAACCTCCAAGAAGATCTTCTTGGTAGCAATTTCTACCTAAGCCTCCTCACAATAAGAGTAAAGACAATGTTCCTGTGGTGACTGATGAACAGGAATATCTAGGGTTGACACCTTCACCAGAAGTTAGGAAGCAATCTTAGAGGGAGTATGTCCTTGATAACAACCTTGTGATTTTGGATATACATTCTCCAGAAGAATGAGAGAATGTACTGTTTTAAATCATGACTTCGTGGTACTTTGTTATGGCTGCCTTAGGAAAGTCATACACAGGGGAGCCTAATTTGATAGAGCTTAATTTGATCAAACTTGTGTAGCTAATATTCTATTTGATGGTGAAAGGATGTCAAGAAAGAATGCCCAGTCTCACAACTTTATTCACCAGTGCTGGAAGTTTTAGCCAGAGCATTAAGGCACGAACAGGAAATGTAAAGCCTACAAATCACAGAGCAAGAAAGAAAGCAGTCCCCATTTGAATATGACATGATTTTACACAGCAAATATTTTTAAAAGCTTCCAAGAACTCCTAGAACTTAAGTTCAGCAGGATTCAGAATAAATATTATTCAGAATAAAATCCATTTTATTTCTCTACAGGAACAATAAACTTGTGGAAATTAAGCTAAAAACATAGTTGCTCCAAAAAGGTACTCAACTGTATTTCTAACAACATATATTATGGGCCTTTAATACTGAAAAGTATAAAATGTTGATGAAGGAAGTCAAAGAAGATCCAATACACGGTAAGACATTCCATGTTTATGAAGTAGGAGATTGTTTTATTTGTTTGTTCATTTGGTTTGTAGGCAAAACCCAATTCCTTACCTTAAAGGAATGAGGGTCCTACTTGCTTTTTGGCTCTTTGCTGAGGAAATTCTCATTTTCTAGAATCCACTTGGAGTCCACCAAGAGTCCCTGGCTTTTTTTCCCCTGCCTTCATTTTCAGAATTAGTAACGTGGGTTGAGTGCCTCTCATATTTTGACTCTTCCATTTCATCTTCCTTATTCAGTTTAAAGAATCATGTGATTAGATCATAGCAATTGGGTAATCAGGATAATCTCCTCATTTGAAGATCATCTGATCAACCATATTTCCTGCTTTACAACATGAGGCAATATATTAATAGGTTCTGGGGTTTAGATTGTACATATCTTTTGGTGGGCACAGAGATTACCCTACCTACCACACATGCCTAGCCCTTTGATGGCTTCCTGTTGCCTGCAGCATTGTATATAACATTTTTAAGATCACACCCTTTCCTCCTTGGTTGTTTTTACTTCTGATGCAGCTGCCTGCGGTGTTTAGCACAGGTCATATCTTTTATGGTTAATGTCTCTGTGTGTATTCTCTCCTTAGAAAATTCTCTCCTTTCCACAACTTAATTGTCAAAACTCAAGTCAAAAGTCAGAGGCTTTAGAATCACAGGGGAGGGAGGGAGGGAGGGAGGGAGAGAGAGAGAGAGAGAGAGAGAGAGAGAGAGAGAGAGAGAGAGAGAGAGAGATTACTTTCTGTTTCCATAGCACCATGATTATATCAATTATTGT